CTGGGGACTGGGGGAGGGGACAGAGGCGGCCTGGGCCTGGCCCTGCGAGCCGGGCCCTCCGTGCCGGCATGGCGGGCAGCGCAGTCTCGCCGCAGCCTGGGGATCTGGACGACGCGTGACCCTCCCTCCCTCCGCAGCCCGACCACTTTGTGCAGGACCCCGCGGTGCTCCGAGAGAAGGCAGAAGCCCGGCGCATGGCCTTCCTGGCCAGGAGGGGGTGAGCATTCAGGGGCTGTTCCTGGAGGGAACCCACCCTCACCCCGAGACTTGCCGCCGGAGGAGCCGCTGTGCCCGCCCGCTGGCCGGCGCCGGGCAGGCCGGCCTGTGGGAGCCCAGACAGGCACTAGGTCTTTGGCGGCCGCCATCCCCAAGCCTTCCTCGTCTCCTAGTGCGGCTGCCCACTCACTGCTCCTTCCTCGCCGCCAGCCAGGGTCCCACCCGCAGGCCGGCTCAGAGAGCGGCACCGGGCACAGCTGCCGGGGCCCCGCCGGCTGGGAGGGGCGTGGGGGGACCTGCCAGCAGAGCTCCTCGGCTGACGTTCTCGGGGGGCGGGCTGTCCCTCCCTCAGGTTCCGACAGGACAGCTCGGCAGCAGTGGCTGGCAGCCCCCGGGGCCACGGGCAGACCCGGGACACCACGCAGGAACGCAGGAAGAAGGAAGCCAACAAGTCCACTCGCGCCAATCACAACCGGAGGGCCATGGCCGACCGCAAGAGGAACAAAGGCATGATCCCGACCTGAGGCCGCCGCGCCAGGCCGGAGGGGCACGGTGCCACCCCGCCGGGCTGTGCCCGCAGCCGAGCCTCCGCCGGAGACATCACCTCGCCCTCGTGTCCACCAGCGCCGCGCACCTCGTGCAGAACACACAGTGCCTTACCCACCCGGAGGAGCCGGGCCAGCCGCAGGCCGAAGGGCGGGCCCCCAAAACCTCTCGCAGCAAGACACCTCCCTGTTCTCTGGACGACAGGAAACCTGCATGTTCCAAAACCAAAACAAGGCCTGCGAATAAAGTGTTTGACCTGTTAAGCAATCACCCGTGATGTGCCCGTGACCCGCTCTCCGGAGCCCCATCCTTCCGTGACAGCCACCGAGGAGGGCAGGACGTCACCGGTTCTCCCATCAGCCCCTTGTGCTAGCCTCCCCTGCACACACACACACACACACACACACACACACACACCGGCGTCGCTCTGCCTCGCTGTGTGTCCCTGAGAACACCCCTCCTTCCCTGCACCCCCAGCTCCTGTGTGGGAGGAAGGACCCAGGGGCTGAGGCCCTGCGGTCCCGTCTGTCCTCCAGCCCCCACTACCTGCCCCGGGGAAGCAGGCCCGTTGTCAGCCCGGAGCAGAGAGGAAGGCGAGGCCCTGAGCGCTGACAGTGCCTGTGGGGGCCACAGCCAGGAAGCAGGAGAGCAGGGCCGGGCCCATCCTCTGTAAGGCCCCAGGCCCCGGGCGGTGTCATCTCCATCTCGGCTGGCCTGAGGACACTCGGCCAGCCACAGAGCCAGGACCAGAACTCAGTGCCTCCTGGTGGTGCGTTTACTCATAAATCCCCAAAAATGAGGGGTCGGAGATCAGAGGTGAGGGAGGATGTCACTGCCACGCCCAGTTAGAGCGAGTGGGACTTGGGCCCAGTTCCCAGGGTCCCCTCCGGGCATGGCCACCTGCTCCTAGCGAGGCAGCAGCTGCCGTCACCCCGATTCCCGGGCCCTCAGAGTGTGGCTGAGCGATGGCAGCTCAGCAGCGGGAGCCAGGCCCCTGCCCGGCTGGACCTGGACCAACCACTGTGGCTGCCAGGACAGCTGATTAGCATGTGGTTAGGATGAGCCTCGGGAGCAGCCAGGCAGACCGGCCCTGACAGATGGGTTTAGTGCGGTCAGCCCGCTCAACTGAAAATCAATAGATGAGGCCCAGGCCCGCCACCCCGGCAGGCTGTGGGCCAGGGCAGGGGCAGGGCATTCCTTTTGTCACTGACCCCGCTTGTCCCTGGAGCAAAGGGGGGCGGGGCGGGGGCTCCCGGCCTTCACATGTCCTGTCTGTTGCCGCTCACTTGGCCCCTCTCACTTTCACTCTGTCGTCTGCGACCCCTGACCACCGGAGTGGTGTCCAGGCCGCACCAGCTTCCTGGTGTAAAGGCCTTGAGAAGACAGAAGGGACTTTTCCAGTTTTCCAGAACGTCCTGCCAGGTCAAGCCTAGTCTCCCTAGAGGACCTGCATACGTTCTCATTTCAGATCTTGAGGGCACCCTTTCTGGGATGCTTGGAAAACAGCTCAGAGTCGTGCAGAATGGTGCTGGCAGGCACACCCCTTCGCCTCACAGGGTCTCAGTTTTCTCATCTGCAAAGTGGGTGCACTGGCCCAGATGAATGGTTTCCGCTTGGTGCCCATTCAATCCTCTGAGGCAGCCCCAAGATTGAAGACGGGCGATGGCACAAGTGCTCTAAGTGAGGTGGGATGGGGGCCCTGGACCCTGCCTGCTGGCTCACGGGGCTCACCACTCCTGCTTCCGGAGCAGGAATGTTCAAGTGCCTTCTCCGGTCCCTGGCGGAGGACAGGACTCTGACAGGCCTTTCTCAGGAAGCTTTTAAGACCCTGTGCCTCTGAGAGAGCCTTGTGTTTGCTTCTGGTCCTCGAGTGGCCGTGATGGTTAGCGTGTTTGTGTGGACGGTGCTTCTGTGCCGCGAGTGGGTGGTCAGAGCGCGTCATTGTTGACAGAAGGGAAGGGAGCTGGGAGCGTGGGGAGGGACCTGCCCGGAGCCCAGGAGGAGTGAGCGGCAGGGCCTGAGGCAGGGACACCCCCAACCCCATCTCCCCAGACGGAGCCACAGGGGGAAGGGGACTCTGGTCCCATCTCCCAGGCCCTTCCACACGCACTGCACCCCAAGCAGCTGAGCTTCCATCTGTTTTAAATCACGGCCTCAGGAGAGGCTTTGTGGGGAAAGCACTCAGTGTGAAAACCATTGGAAACCAGCTCAGGGTCAGCCCTCAGGCCCCTGCGAGCTTGCAAGTCCGGTTTTGTGATGGAGCCTTTCTCCCTCACACCCGCTCCTTAGGAAGCAGGTGCAGGGGGAGCCCCAGTGACTCAGGAAGGTCCCAGTGGAGGTAAAGCCCCGCTGGGACTGGGAGGATGAGGAAGGGCATTCCAGGAGGGGGGAACTGCAGGTGTGAAGGCGGGGAGGCAGGAGAAGCCCGCCGGACTGGGAACTGTGGGAGGCGCTGGAGCCCAGGCCCAGGAACCCTGCTGGGTGAGGCGGGGGTCCCAGAACCCGCTGCCTGGCCCCTCTGCCTCCTGTGCTCTCTCCAAGGGTCTGAAGAGGGTCTCACCTGCCTTTTCAGCTCCTGGGGGCTCCTGGCCGCATCATTTCAATCTTTACATGGCCGGCTCCGTCCTCACGTGCCCACTCTCGCGTGATCACGTGGTCCCGCCCCTTGTTCAGGGCTCACTTCCCTTTGTCCACGTGGCCCCGCCCTTAATCACATGCTCACAGCTGTCCACATGGCTCCGTCTCCTTGATCACGTGCTCACTTACGGCTGAGCCAAACCAGTTTGTTGGGGGGGAGGGGACATGGTTTTAAACAGCAGGGGTGTGGGATGGGGGCCACCTGGGTGATTCCTCTGTAGTCACCCCCAAAGCTCTGCACTGGCCCCTGAAGACCATGCAGGGAGGCCCTGTTCGTTGACTCACTGCTGCAGTCGACATTGGCCAATAAGCCTGTTCTAAACATGCCACAAGCACTGTCTCACGTATGTGTTACCCCATTTCCCACCAGGGAAGCCAGGAGAGCAGGCAGCCCACCCCAGGTGGCTCAGTTGGAGAATAGCGAGCTAGAATGCAAACACAGGCGTGCTCCGTGTCCACAGCCCACGCCTAGGCACGTGATGGGCGGGCAAAGGGACCCCCAGCAGCAACCCTAGCCGGAAGATTTCTGAGGTGCAGTCAGAGGTAGCCTGGATCTTACATGTCAGGCTAAGGAATTTGAACTTGATCTTGCAGGTAGTAGGGAGCCATCGACGGTGTGTGAGCAGGGGCAGTGACCTAGCAGTCTCCCAAAGACGCAGGGAAGAGGAAGGGCCGCTGAGGGCTCTAGGCAGCAAGGAGGAGAGCCGCACCCCTGCACACTGACTGTCAGCAGGACGGCTCCTGGCCAACATCTCCCCTGCATTTCATCATCACCTCGTCCTTGAGGCCGGCTGGAGTCTGCCCTTGACATTCAGTCAGTGCATACATCCAAGCCTCTCAGGCCAAGGCCCCAGCTGAAAATTCAGCTGTCCAGCCGGCATAGCTCAATGGTTGAGCGTTGACCAATGCCTGATGGTCACGGTTTAATTCCCAGTCAGGGCACACGCCTGGGTTGCAAGCTCCATCTCCAATGCGGGGCGTGCAAAAGGCAGCAAGCCCATCCATGATTCTCTTTTATCATTTATATTGATGATCCTCTCTCTCCCTCTCCCTTCCACTCTGAAATCAATAAAAATAAACAGTAAAAGAAGCCTTTCTCCTGGCACAACTAGAACTGGAGGAGCGAGGATTCAAACCTGGGCGCACCCTGATCAACCAATCTCTTTAGAGGACAGAGGCTTTGAGTTCTGGCCTAACCCAATCATCAGGGGTCCTGGCCCAGTGGGGTATGGCAGCCTGCCCAGACACACAGCAAGTGCAAGGCAGAATGGAGACTGGAGTCTTGGGGACGGGGGTGCCCCAAGATGCTCAGGCCAGGGTTTTCCTTTCCCAGCTGAGGCCACAGTGCCTCCCCATGGCCAAGCCAGTCAACTCCCCTGTGCATGACTTAAGAATGGAATTACCGGTTTGGGAGACAACGTTGAAGGCAACATCTCCAACTCTGGCTCATGGTTTGAAAACCAGAATTCTTGGGAAGGAAATGGGAAATCCAAAATAATGGAAGCCGCCCTCGGGAAGTTTGCAGAGGACTTTGAAGTGGTCCCCAGGAACTGACAAGTGATGATCGGGTGGGGCTAATAAAACACCAGTGCTGAAGCAGGTCTCACCGACAGCTTACATTTATTGGCTGATGCCTCTGGCTAAGAATCACACTTCAAACACAGCAGAAGCGGAGAGTCTGTCAGGTGGAGGCATTTCGTAACAACAGCGAAACGTGGTCCGCGGTCAGGGCTGTGAGCGTCTCCTCACGCCGAGGCCCTGGCTCCGGGCAGACAGCTGGTGGGCGGACCTGGTCCATCTGGCCTGGATGGGCGCCTCCGAGGAGCTAGTTCTCATACTTGTGCTTGATGTGTTTCCACAGCTTCTGCATTTTAAAGACAAAAGCCACAAACGTTCATTTTCGCCCCTCACTTTTTACAATTATATTCCCACTGCCCTGGTCCCTAAAACAAGCTTGAAATTCTCACCACGTCCTGACAGTTACACTGGGAAATTTGGAAGCAATACCAGGAGGGTCACACATCCCTGATGTTTATAAAACGCTCTGAGCCCCACCTGGTGTGGCTCAGTTGGTGAGAGCGTCGTTTTGTACCGAAAGGTCATGGGTTCGATAGGCATCAGGGCACAGGTTGAGGTTCATTCCCCAAAAGGGAGGACACTGATCAATGTTTCTTTCACATCAATGTTTCTCTCTCTAAAATCAATAATAGTGTATCCTCAGGTGAGGATGAAAAAGAAAAAATGCTTTGATGCTCTCAATCACCATGTGAAGTGATCTATCAGCTGCCTCCTGCACACCCCCTACTGGGGATGTGCCCGCAACCAAGGTACATGCCCTTGACGGGAATCGAACCTGGGACCCTTGAGTCCGCAGGCCGACGCTCTATCCACTGAGCCAAACCGGTCAGGGCAGAGAACATGTTTTTATTGGTGTTTTAGAGACAGAGGAAGAGAGGTGGAGAGAGAGAGAGAGGGAGAAACATGCATGTGAGAGAGAAACACTGGTAGGCTGACTCCGCCACGCATCCCTACCGAGGATCAGGGATCGAACCCACAACCTGGGTACGTATACAAGTGTTATTTTCTGAGTGGTAGCACCCAGCAGGCTCTGTGGCATCTTGCCTGTCTCGAGTAGTATTCAGGGCAAACCCGAGGTCTTTACTGTGGTCGATTTCACAGGTAAAAGCGAAGCTCAGAGATGTTAAGAAACCTGCCCAGCTTCATGTCACAGTTATTAAGTACCGAGGCCCGGTACCCCCGTGCAGGGCCCTCTGATTTCACAGCCCCAACTCCGAGCCATCATTCACGCCAACCACGGCGTTCGTGCGGAAAGCCCTGGCCACCGAAAGCACCATCTTAAAAGGCAGCCGCCACGTCTAAGGAGACGTCCTTTTCGAGACATCCACCGCTCAGATCTGCCCTTGAAGCCCTCCGCGGAGGCAGGGGGCTCAGTCCCAGCCCTGACTTCCGGGTGCTGCAGCCCCAGGGAGCCCTTGGCTCTGACGAGGCCTTAGCTGTCGCCTCTGCAGAATGGAAAGGTGGGCGATCGCAATGTTTAAACGCCCTGCAGCGGAAACCGGTGTGGCTCAGTGGATAGAGCGTCGGCCTGCGGACTGAAAGGTCCCGGGTTCGATTCCGGTCAAGGGCATGTACCTTGGTTGCGGGCACATCCCCGGTAGGGGGTGTGCAAGAGGCAGCTGGTCGATGATTCTCTCTCATCGATGTTTCTAACTCTCTATCCCTCTCTCTTCCTCTCTGTAAAAAAAAACCAATAAAAATATATATGTTAAACGCCCTGCAGAGTGGAATCTATCGGCCTCGCTTTAACGGCGTAGGATCCACCCCCAGCAGAAAGGCCGGATGGCAGTCTACAGACAGGACGCGCAGGGTTTACCCCTCTTCCCCGTGAAGGTGTTCATGGCGTCCCGTGCCACCGCCATTCCCACCGACACTCTCAGGCGGGCCCAAGGTCAGGGACGGCCCAGGCCCTCACCCCCTGGTTGATCTGTTCGTAGATCGCGTCCGCGCCTTGGTCGAAGGCACGCTCGAAGAACAGGGCGCCCACGGCGATGGTCAGGGCGAAGGTGGAGGTCCTGCGGAACAGCAGGGAATACAGCTTCCCCGTCAGCGTCGGAGCCGCCATGTTTCCCCACTGCCGGAGTCGCGACACCGCGCATGCGCCGCTGCCGACCTCGCTCCCCAAAGGCCTTCGTCGTGCTGCAGTGCTTTATGGGACATGTAGTCCCTCTGAATCTCCGTTCTCGTCGTTTTGAATCAGGGGGGTAATGGATGGCTTACGCGGGATAAAAATCCTGATAAGGTTCAGGTCACAGCAGCCCAGACTGTTTGGTAATGTTTGTTACACAATTTTACACCTCAATCATTTCTCGCTGATTGGCTAGTTCTAACTACAACTCCCAGAAGCCCTTGCTCTCTCCCCACCTATCAATGGTAGTTCTGCTTTAATTCCCAAAGGTTTCTGGGAAGGGGGAAACTGATACCAGAGGAAGGACTACGAATCCCAGCAAGCAGTTCGCAACGCAAGAGCGGAGGAGGAGGAGCGCCTGGCCATCGTGCCCAGCTGAGCCAGGTACCTTGTTTGCGGGACATCGAGGGTTGGGTTTTAGTCTGCTGCCCCGCACGGGGGGAGGACTTGGGCTCTTGTCTCCTAGTCCGCGCTCCTCCCGGCGGGCCGCGCCGTTTAACGCGTTAGGTAGTCGAGAGGGTCTGGGTCCCCGGCTGATCTCCATTTCCCGATTCCCCGATCAGTTTCAAGTTCAGGGCTGGAGTTGGAGCCTGTGGCAAAAAGGCAGATCCTTGGGACTGAACCCACCTGCCCGACTTCGTTCTTCCCATTTCCCTCCTCTCTGGGCTTCACATCCCAGAACCCTGGCCTGCAAGGCGGGAGGGCTGACATCATCATTCATTCCTGCTCGGGAACAGAAAGGACAGGGGCTTTGGAGTGCACGGCCGTCAACTATTTCATTCATTCATTCATTCATTCGTTCACTTATTTTAATCCTCTCCGGAGGATGTTGTGTGTGTTTGTGTTTGTGTTTTAATCGATTTTTAGAAGAGAGGGAAAGAAGTAGAGAGAGATACCTATACATGAGAGAGAAACATCTAATCGATCGCGGGGATCGAATCCACCACCTAAGTATGTGCCCTGACTGGGAATCGAACCCTCAGCCTTTTCATGCATGGGAGGACCATGCTGCAACCCACTGAGCCACCCGGCCAGGGCAACAAAGGTCTTCCGAGCGCCTTCTCTGGGCCAGACGCTGGGGACTCCGCAGTGAACGAGTCACTGCTGGTGGAGATCCATTCTGCCGTGGGCGGGTGGGTGGGGAGGAGCAGCCTTGACAAACCAGGAACGCCCTGAAGAGCAGAGCACGGGTTGGCTGTTGTCGCCAGGGTGCCCAGGGTGACACTTAGCCAGAGACACGCACGGAAGACGACTAGTAGGAAGGCTGCCGAGGCCTGAGGCTGCTGCCTCCTGGGTGTTTGAGGGACAGAAGCAGAGTGGGCTGGCCTCGGAGGCTGTGGTAAGGAGCCTTACGGTTTTCTGACTGCACCAGGAAGCTCCCTGAAGGGTTTTAGGCTGGATTGTGACCTGCTCTGGTTTGCTTGTTAATGGCCTCATTCTGGCTGCTCTCTGTCTGGTCAAGTGAAGTCTGAGCTGCCCCTTAGCCGTCAAGTGGAGATGTCTGCGGGCAAATGGGATTTTGGCTCTGGTGTTGGGGTCTGGGCCAGAGAGAAAAGCCATTGCCATAGGCGTGGCGTTGGAAACCAGGGACTGGATTTCAGGCCTGGAGCTGACTTGTAAAACGGGCAGGAAAGCCTGAGGAGGGGCCTGGGAGGGAAAACGTGAGATGCTGCCGTGTTTCCCCGAAAATAAGACATCCTCCGAAAATAAGACCTACTTACAGGTCTCCTTCTGAGTGAAATATAAGGCATCCCCCCGAAAATAAGGCCCCCCCTCAGGCTAAACATGAGAGATTCGGTCCACTGATTCTGAAAGAAATGGAGTCACAAGAAATTCACCAGGAAATTCAGGAACTGGATTGTTAGGATGATGTTCCAGAAGATGATGACATGATTGTCATTGAACAAATGAGTACATTCTTGATCCTGTAGGATTCACAGTTTGTCTGGTTTGTGTTGACAACTACCGTACGGCCGTACCATAAACAGATAATAAATTTCCTTTATTTTCATTTAACAATAAATGTGTATCGTATTCTTCTTCATGGAAAATTATAAGACATCCCCTGAAAATAAGACCTAGCGCATCTTTGGAGCAAAAATTAATAGAAGACACTGTCTTATTTTCGGGGAAACAGGGTATACGTCCTTACGATGGTTATTTTCTATTTGCAGAGCAGCCTCGTAGCCCCTCGGGATAGGCTGCTTGGCGCGTGTGGGAAAGGAGACGTACGTGTTGCTAACAACAGATCTGGCTGATGGGACGCTCAGAGGAGGGAGGCGTTATTTTAGGTGAATGGGTGGGGAAGACACAGTTAGGTGGTGGCTTGGTTTATGTTTTATCTTTTTAGTTAATTCTCTTTGGAGCAACACTCTTTAAAAGCCTAACGTTCGGTAAGCCGTCAAGTTCAACCTGGAACTTATTATGCTGTACATAAACCTAGAAAAATAAGAAAAATGACCTTACCTTTTCCTTTGAGTAATGCTGAACAGACTAAATCCCTCGAAACAGTCAGCCGTGTTAACAGCCTAATTGCCCTCCCTTGCATATTTAATTCCACTTCTAAGTGTAATATATTTGATTTTCTTTTTTCAAGTATTTCAGATACATAACCTAACGAGCATCATTTCCCCAGAATACTTAAACAGTTACTAAAAAAGTCTAATAACTTAAACCTATAGACAATGAATTTTAAGTTCTTGTAAACAGCTCGGTGCTTTTAGTAGACAGTCAAGTTCTCTTGCCACCGGTTCTCAGCCTGGGGAGCCAGTAAAATGCTTCTCCGACATAAAATGAGGAGATGGGGGGCACCTTTAGTATCGTTATAGCACCCCAGGGGGTCCTCATATATGTAATCAGTTTCTCCAACCACTGCTAACGTCTCAAAGTCACAAGTCTAATGTCAATTACTGACACATATTTTATAATTACCTAGATGTCTAGTTTCACTTCTATATTTTAAGTTGGAATCACATTGCTTACCTGTCATCCGCTCAGCCTGTCACATTCTTTTCCATGTTACTGATCCTTTCAGATACCAAGTATGCACTGACTATTAGTAAATCCCGGGCAGGCACGGAAGTACAGGTGGGGCCAAGGTCGGTTTGCAGTTGTGAGGACGCGGACCACAGGGTCTTCCCTCGTGTTTTTGTGTATTAATCGTTGTATTGTTTTCCGTAGCAGCAACTGTAAACCTGTCTTACCCCGCCCTGTGCGAAGAGTTTGATTTAGTCTACTCCCTCTATTTGCAATTCTGCGTTTCCCTGGAGTGTGGCAGGACACCTGGCCCGTAGGAGAAACAGTTTTATTCCTGGAAGTGAATGCCAGTCAAGTCGGGGTTGCCACTTCGGCAAGCTGACCGCTTGGTGACGGGGACACGCATCGGGGGCTGTGTCTCCCCAGGGTCACTGTCCCCAGCAGAGGCCGCCTTGGATGCTGGGAATGGAGAGGCCAGTGAGCACCAGGCTTTTGCTCCTCAGTGGGTGCCTCCTAGCAGGTGCTAGGCTCACTGGGTACAACGCAGATTCCTGGGTCCCTCCTGACCTGCTGGCCGGATTCTGAAGATCTGACCCGGGAGACTTCAGCTGTAATAACCCCACACAGGGAGCCCTGGGAATGTTGGAGCAGGGGTTTTAAGAGGGTTGGCCTGCCCCCCCAGGGCAGGTAAACTGGGGGGGCTGGTCCCAGTGTGAGAGAGAGACCTGACTTGGTGGTCACAGGGGGTCGGGTGGATTGGAAGCCCAGCCGGGGGGGGGGGGGGGAGGGAAAGGGAGGCACACGCTGCTCTGAGCCCGGGTATCTGGTGCAGGAGCCTCCTTCGTGCTATTTTTACCTTTCCTATTTGGAACCTCCGGCCTCCTGGGACCCGTAACTATCTGACGAGAAACCGTGTCTCCAGCCCGCGGCTCCCCGGAGCCCGATTCGGGCTCAGCCGCCTGTGCCGGGCGGGGCCAGCTCAGAATCAGGGCGCACCCTGCCAGCCCTCAGCCAGGGGCCCAGGGAAACGTCTCCCGTGGGTCCCCCTCCAGGTTCGTCCTGGCGAACCAGGTCGCCGGAACCATCCGTGGCGTTTCCTAAGGAAGAAGGAATGGGATCCAGCCCTGCCTGACACATTTTCCAGTTTTTAAGGGAATTTTCGGGGGACATTTAAAAACAAGACATGCTGAATGTCAAGACACAGAATAACAGAAAAACACAAAGAGGTCGTGGAGAAAAATCCTGTGCGTAACCCTGTCATCCAGGCATTCCCACAGTAAATATTTTGTGTCTGCTCTAGTCTGTGTATGAGTGTGGGAGGTTCTTTTTCCTTAAAATAGTGGTATTATATATATATATATACTGTTGTGAAAATGAGTTTTTTCCCATTGGTTTTTTTGTTGTTGTTGTTTTTTGTTTTTTAGAGTGGAAGGGAGTGGGGAGAGGAAGAAAAAGAGAGAGAAATATTAACAAACATTTTCTCAGGAATTTGGGGGTGGCTCAGCTGGGTGGTTCTGACTCAGACTGTCCCAGAAGGTTGCCATCAAGCTCCGGGCTGCACTCATCCGAAGGCTCGACTGGGGCTGGAGGGCCCACGTCCAAGCTTACTCACACGACTGCTCACAGGCCCCAGTTCCTTGCCACTGGCACCTCCCCACCGTATGGCAGCCAGCTCCCCCAAAATGGAGTGATTAGAAGAGGGAAGACACCAGGATGGAAGCCACAGTGTCCTTTTACAACTTGGTCTTCCTGTAAGTGACGTGCCGTCACCTCTGCTCTATTCTCTTAGCCTCACAAAACCGTGACACAGCTTAAAAGGGAACCACAGCACACGGCACACGCGTGTGGAGGCGGCGTCACTGCGGACCACGGCTTGCTGCCACATCCACAAATGAGTGTTGAGCGCCATCAGCACGTCAGGCGGGGCGCTCACACGGAGCACGCGTGATTTAATCCTCACGGTAAGCTTACCAAATACCCTGGTAATAAGACAGTGTCTTATATTAATTTTTTTTCCTCCCAAAGTTGCGCTAGGTCTTATTTTCAGGGGATGTCTTATCTTTCCACGCACTAGGTCTTATTTTCGGAAGATGTCTTACTTTCGGGGGAAATACGGTAGTATTATTGCCTTCCTCTTCCAGACGAGGCTCAGCCAAGTTTCCCGGCCCGGAAGTGGCAGGGAGGGGAGTCCCACCGGTGTTGAAAGATTAGAGGAGGGATTGACGGGGTGATCGGGGTGACCTTGGGCTGGCTGTCCTCCCTCTGTTCTTCAGCCCGTCACCTGCTACCTTACAGGACCATCATTTCTCCCAGGGGGAGGGGGTCTGTGGGCTCTGCATCAGAGCCCCCCTAGATCTTGGCCCTCCCCCAGACCTGCTGATCGGGAAATGGCTATGGGTGGGGGCTGCCTTATTCTGCTGGGAGGAAGGGGATGCGCCTCACTCCCAGGGGTGGGAGGGGCCAAGGTCAGGATGAGGAGGCTGTGAGGTTGCTACAAAGCCCCGGGGCCTCTGAGGGGGACCCCGAACACTCGGGGGCTCCTCTCAGGGAAGACATCTGGGTCTTCTCGGCATTGCTGTTGGAGCTGGGTCCTCGGTGGGCAGTCCTCGGGCCACCCCGGCCGGTTCCGATGCCATCCACTCCAGACGGCAGGCATATGGCGCTGGGAAGGTGCCAGGCTCCCGGCGGGTGGCAGCAGAGCCATCGCTGGCTGCGGCTGGCTGTTCACCTGGGGTCTGGCAGCGCCGTAATTAGAAGGGATGACAGGTGAGCCCGTGGGCGGCGTGTGGTGAGCCCGGGTCCCGGTAATGACAGTGCGTGTCCCAGCCTGGCCTCAGCCGGCCGGGCCGCTGGCTTATTTTAGCCCGGTGCCAAGCCCGCCCTGTGCCCGAGCCCTGTGCCAAAGCCCGCCCTGTGCCGGGGCCCTGTGCCAAAGCCCGCCCTGTGCCGGGGCCCCGCAGCCTGACCCAGAACCCTGCTTTCCCCTCCACACAGCTTCCCGGGGCGCGGGGCTCCCCGCCAGCAGCACAGGGCGGGTGGGACGTGACCTTGCTCGGTCTCTCCTCTGAGCCTGGTCCTCCTCTGCGAAAGCTCACCTCCAGGGGGCGGCCTCCGAGGGCTGGATGGGAGGGTGAGAGCCAGGGCCTCGCACGCAGGAGTCCGAGCCGCAGCTCTCCCCTCGCCCCAGCTCACCCCTTTATCCTTCCTTCTGTCCCAGTGTCCCCACCAGTTGGTCGTCTCCTCCTGGAGCCCAGAGGATGGCGGGCAGCTGCCATGGGTGGCCGGGTGTGGGCTAAGCAGAGCTGGGGAGGCGGGAGGTGGCGCAAGAGGCCTGCCTTCGGGTCTTGGGGCCTCTCTTCTCGCTGTTCCTCATCCATCCTCGTTGGCATGGTCCCCAGTTCAGACTTGAGCCGCAGTGCCCTCTTCTGAAAAGCTGTCTCCGGTCCCACCACACAGGTGTCCTGAGAATGCCGGAGCCAGCACAGCAGGTGCACAGTGGGCCAGGCGCCAGGTGGCACCGACAGCGCCTGCTCTGTGCGGGCATGGCCAGTGCCGTTTGTATTGCTCCTACTTTTGCGGTTGAGGATTCGTTGGGAAAAGCAAATGTCTGTGTATCGCTCCCCAGAGGCAGCCAGGCGGACCCATTTCTGCAGGGAAAGCAGAGGCCTGAGGGGGGCAGTGACTTGCCCAAGGTCACACAGCTGCTGCTCGGTGCCTGCGTGGCTCCGTCCAGCTGAGTCCGCTGCAGAGAGGCCGTTCGGGCTCCGCCTCGCAGAGGGACACCCTCCCAGGCCCTCCCCTCCCCTCCCCTCCCGAATACTCTCCGGAGCCGCAGTGGAGCTGCGGGCGCTTCAGGCTTCGTGAATGGCTTGGCCGTTAAACATTCATCTCTCGCCATTTCAACCCAGTTCCTATAAGTTTATTGGCAAGACGGGTGTATTAGAGCTGCCAAATTTCATATATCAACTCGGCGTGTCTGGGATGCGGTCTCTCGGCAGTAACCGGAGGAAAGAGAGGTTTTGTATGTTTTCATTTGGAATGACTGTCGGTTCCTAATCCCATTAGAGCCCCCTGGACTTAATGGCTGCTGGCCCCGGCTGCAGGCTGCTGGCCCCGGCTGCCCAGGCCCGCGCTCCCCGCAGCCCGCACGGCCGCCCGGCCTGTCCGGGGGCTTGTCCGTCTTATCTTCCTCCAGCCTCTTCCGGACAAGATGCGTTTCCCCGTCAGTCCGTCCCGTGGTCAGGCCCAGCTCTGTATTTGTCTGCAGGTCCTGGGAGTCGAGCTGGTGCTGCCCCCTGAGCTGCTGCCTCACGACCTTGGGGCAGCCACCGGTCTTGGTCCTCTGGGCTCAGGGTATAGGACCTGCCCTGGCTGGTGTGACTCAGTGGATAGAGCGTCGGCCTGTGGACAGAAGGGTCCCAGGTTCGATTCCGGTCAGGGGCATGTGCCTTGGCTGCGGGCACATCCCCAGTGGGAGGTATGCAGGAGGCGGCTGATTGGTGTTTCTCTCTCGTCTGTGTTTCTAGCTCTCCGCCCCTCTCCCTTCCTCTCTGGGAAAAATCAGTAAAATATATTTTTAAAGACAAACAAACACCTATTTGGTTGCCTGCGGTGCGCCATCACTACTTTGGGCGCTGGAGCTGCGGCGATAAAGGGAACAGAAATAGCTCTGCATTTCCCTTCCCGCCGGGAGGAGAGACGGCGGCGAGTGGAACCAGGACTATGGCTGCACAGGGGGTGCCGGGGGCAGGAAACGGGGGGCGCTAAGTGCAGGGTGAGGGTTCTGCCATTTAAGTCAAGTGGTCACGGTCGCTTCCTGAGAAGGCAGTGTCTGAGCGGAGATTGAAGGAGTTGAGTAAGCGAGCTTGGCAGGTACCGGGAGGGCCTGCAGGCGGAGGGAGCGGGTACCGGGAGGGCCTGCAGGCGGAGGGAGCGGGTACCGGGAGGGCCTGCAGGCGGAGGGAGCGGGTACCGGGAGGGCCTGCAGGCGGAGGGAGCGGGTACCGGGAGGGCCTGCAGGCGGAGGGAGCAGTGGGGAGATCAGAGGGTGAGGGTGGCAGCTGGCGAGAGGAGCTAAGGTGGTGGTTCCCTGGCGACATGTAGAAAATTTAAAAATATATTTTATTGATTCTTTACAGAAAGGAGAGAGAAGGATAGAGAGTTAGAAACATTGATGAGAGAAAAACATCGATCAGCTGCCTCCTGCACGACTCACGGCCGTGGTGAGCTTTCAATGAGGTGCAGGGAGTCTGGAAAGCTCCCTGCACAGCACGGCCTGGCCCGCAGGGAGCGCTCCGTCGGGGCGGCGTGGGTGGGCTCCGGGTGGCGGTCCCTCCCGCCCCGACCTGCTCTGTGCCGGCCCCCCACCCCCACCCCCGGCAGGGCAGCCCTGACCCGCTCTGTGACCCCCACAGGGCAGCCCTGACCGCTCTGTGCCCCCCGGCAGGGCAGCCCTGACCACTCTGTGCCCCCCCGCAGGGCAGCCCTGACCGCTCTGTGACCCCCACAGGGCAGCCCTGACCGCTCTGTGCCCCCCGGCAGGGCAGCCCTGACTGCTCTGTGCCCCCACAGGGCAGCCCTGACTGCTCTGTGCCCCCCGGCAGGGCAGCCCTGACCACTCTGTGCCCCTGCAGGGCAGCCCTGACCGCTCTGTGCCCCTGCAGGGCAGCCCTGACCGCTCTGTGCCCCTGCAGGGCAGCCCTCGCCGCCATGGGGAAGCGGTACTTCTGTGACTACTGCGACCGCTCCTTCCAGGACAACCTGCACAACCGCAAGAAGCACCTCAACGGCCTGCAGCACCTCAAGGCCAAGAAGGCCTGGTACGACATGTTCCGAGGTGGGTGCCCGGGCCGGGAGCGGGCCTGCCTCGGGCGCGTTGCTCTCTCTTCTCATCAGACCGGGAGCTCCTGGCCATGGCCCCGCGCGGAGGGGCCTCTGAGGGGCTGTGGGCAGAGCGGTCTCTGAGGGGCTGTGGGCAGAGCGGTCTCTGAGGGGCTGTGGGCAGAGCGGTCTCTGAGGGGCTGAGGGCAGAGAGTGGTCTCTGAGGGGCTGTGGGCAGAGAGTGGTCTCTGAGGGGCTGTGGGCAGAGCGGTCTCTGAGGGGCTGAGGGCAGAGCGGTCTCTGAGGGGCTGTGGGCAGAGAGTGGTCTCTGAGGGGCTGTGGGCAGAGAGTGGTCTCTGAGGGGCTGAGGGCAGAGCGGTCTCAGGGGCTGTGGGCAGAGCGGTCTCTGAGGGGCTGAGGGCAGAGAGTGGTCTCAGGGGCTGTGGGCAGAGAGTGGTCTCTGAGGGGCTGTGGGCAGAGCGGTCTCTGAGGGGCTGAGGGCAGAGCGGTCTCTGAGGGGCTGAGGGCAGAGCGGTCTCTGAGGGGCTGTGGGCAGAGAGTGACCTCTGAGGGGCTGTGGGCAGAGCGGTCTCTGAGGGGCTGAGGGCAGAGCGGTCTCAGGGGCTGTGGGCAGAGCGGTCTCTGAGGGGCTGAGGGCAGAGCGGTCTCTGAGGGGCTGTGGGCAGAGCGGTCTCTGAGGGGCTGAGGGCAGAGCGGTCTCAGGGGCTGTGGGCAGAGCGGTCTCTGAGGGGCTGAGGGCAGAGAGTGGTCTCAGGGGCTGTGGGCAGAGAGTGGTCTCTGAGGGGCTGTGGGCAGAGCGGTCTCTGAGGGGCTGAGGGCAGAGCGGTCTCTGAGGGGCTGTGGGCAGAGCGGTCTCAGGGGCTGTGGGCAGAGCGGTCTCTGAGGGGCTGAGGGCAGAGAGTGGTCTCTGAGGGGCTGTGGGCAGAGAGTGGTCTCTGAGGGGCTGTGGGCAGAGCGGTCTCTGAGGGGCTGAGGGCAGAGAGTGGTCTCTGAGGGGCTGAGGGCAGAGAGTGGTCTCTGAGGGGCTGTGGGCAGAGCGGTCTCAGGGGCTGTGGGCAGAGCGGTCTCTGAGGGGCTGAGGGCAGAGAGTGGTCTCAGGGGCTGTGGGCAGAGAGTGGTCTCTGAGGGGCTGTGGGCAGAGCGGTCTCTGAGGGGCTGAGGGCAGAGAGTGGTCTCTGAGGGGCTGAGGGCAGAGAGTGGTCTCTGAGGGGCTGAGGGCAGAGAGTGGTCTCTGAGGGGCTGTGGGCAGAGCGGTCTCTGAGGGGCTGAGGGCAGAGCGGTCTCTGAGGGGCTGTGGGCAGAGCGGTCTCTGAGGGGCTGAGGGCAGAGCGGTCTCTGAGGGGCTGAGGGCAGAGCGGTCTCTGAGGGGCTGAGGGCAGAGCGGTCTCTGAGGGGCTGTGGGCAGAGCGGTCTCTGAGGGGCTGTGGGCAGAGCGGCCTCTGAGGGGCTGTGGGCAGAGCGGCCTCTGAGGGGCTGAGGGCAGAGCGGTCTCTGAGGGGCTGAGGGCAGAGAGTGGTCTCTGAGGGGCTGTGGGCAGAGCGGTCTCTGAGGGGCTGAGGGCAGAGCGGTCTCTGAGGGGCTGTGGGCAGAGAGTGGTCTCTGAGGGGCTGAGGGCAGAGAGTGGTCTCTGAGGGGCTGTGGGCAGAGCGGTCTCTGAGGGGCTGTGGGCAGAGAGTGGTCTCTGAGGGGCTGTGGGCAGAGCGATCTCTCAGGGGCTGTGGGCAGAGAGTGGTCTCTGAGGGGCTGAGGGCAGAGTGGTCTCTGAGGGGCTGAGGGCAGTGATGGCCGGCCGCCGGGAGCAGCGGAGCGCCGGGAGTGGCAGCTGCATGCCTGGCTGGACGGACGCTGAGTAACCAGCTTCCTCCGGGAAAGGCCGCTCCGCGCGCTGTGACGGGTGCGCGGGCTGAGGCTCCGCGCACAGGCCTGGCACCGGCACTGCAGGAGCCGCCCCGCCTGTCGTTGGCATCACACCAGCAGCGGTGAGGGCGGGCCAGGGGTCAGCCGGGAGCAGGGCAGACGGAGCGGGCGCTGGGCAGTGGGCGAAGGGGCCGGAGAGCTCCTGCGATGACCAGAGGCGGGTCCGGTCTCCGAGGGACCTGGAGAGCAGGATTGGGGGCAGGCCCAGCCTGGGGGAAGGAGTGGGGTCCCAGCAGCTGAGAAGGAAGGAGAAGGTGAGGCAGACAGAATTCCCTGGTCGGTGACTCAGAATTCATAAGAAGAGGTGAGCGTTCATTGAGTGCCTGCTGCATGCCAGGTGTCTCCATTCTTTCTCAGTGATTCTGAGCAGCGGCTCTCAGCCCTGTGTTAGGATCACCGGGAGACCTTGAACTTAACGAGGGTCCCCTGACCGCCCCAGCGGCAGGTGTGGGCGGGGCCTGGGCGGGGCGCTTTGAAAGCTCTCCCTGGCTCTCCCCATCTCAGATGAGAAGCCTCACAGGCTCGGAGGAGGGCAGGTGGCCAGACACGACTGTGGCAGGGGTCTGCGAGTGGGGGTGCCTGATGTCAGGCCTTGTCCCCCAAGTCCCGGGGGGCTGTGACCTGGCGTGGAATTGGGCCTCAAGATCACCCTGGTGTTCGCCCCTGGTCCCAGACTCTCGGCTGACCTCTCCCTCTGAGCTCCAGCCACACTGGCCACCACCGTCCCTGCACCCTCTGCAGACACGCCCTCCCTGCCCTGGGCCTGGCAGAGTCCTCCAGGGTGTCCTCCCCCTCTACACACACACACACACACACACCCCGGCCAGGGCAGGTCATCTGGCCTCACGCTGTGTGCCCCGTTTACATCCGCGTGGATTAGTGTGTCTGCTGGCCTGGAAGGAAGGGCCAGATCTGCCTTGTTCTCCACTAAATCCTCATCCTGGCCCGGTGCCTGCACCCAGGACGTGCTCGGCCGGTGTTTGCCAAGCGAACGTCTAAATGAACGAGCAAACAGACCCGGCGTCAGGGCCGGCGCTAATGCTGGGAGATGAGGCGAGAAGGACCAGGGGGGTCGGATCACGAGGAGCCTCGGACGCCGGGCGGAGGGCACGGCCTGGGTGCGGGGCCGGGCCGGGCTCCTCAGCGCCCGGTGCCCTCCGGAGCCTCCGGGAGCTTTAACAGTTCCCACGTTCTCCCCGCCGACGGAGGGAGGCACAGCCTGAGAGGGACCGGCTGGGCACCCGTGAACTTGGATAGCTGCCCGCTGAGTCCGCGTGTGGCCGGGGCTGACAGCCACCCACCAGGTGCTGGGCAGCCTGGCAGAGCCCCTCGCACAGGCTCCCCACCCCGCCAGCCTCGCTGTCCTACCCCCGGGGGCCTGGGCAGTGTCCCGGTCCCGGGCGACACCAGGTCCCGGGTGAGCCAGGCACCTCGCTCGCGTGTCTTACTCCCAGACGTAGACGGATCGATTCTCTGCCTACGAAGAAGCACACATTTACCCCACAAACATACGACGACAATAAGTGGAAAAATAGGAAGAAAACAGGTGAAGGCTTGTATCCGGAGAGATCGCTGCCCGTCTGTCGGGGCCGGGACCGAGAGCCCAGGCCGGTGTGTGTGTGCGGGGCGCGGGGCAGGGGGGGGGGGCGGTGTTGCCTGTGGAGCAGGGCCTGGGTCCTGCTTCCAATATGCGCTTTGAGCTTTCTATTTTGGAGTAATTATAGACTTCTCAGAGGTTGCAGCGACAGGGCAGAAAGACCTTGTGGTACCGGGTTTAAAAACCAAGAACACAACCACCCAGCCCTCCCAGGTGACTCTGCCGGCCCGAGGTCAGAGCCTCTGGCAGGAAGCTTGCCCTTGGCCGGGTCTGGGCGGGGCGGGCGGGGTCGAGGTCACCCACAGCTCAGACCCCTCCGCCCAGTCCCCGCCTGTGGCCGTCCCTTTGTGGACGGGGAGCACCTGGAGCACCTGGCGCAGCGCGGCTCTGGGCCCAGCCCCTCCCCTCTCCTCCCACAGACGCGGCTGCCGTCTTGCTGGACGAACAGAACAAGCGGCCCTGCAGGAAGTTTCTGCTGACAGGTGACGTGTCCCGCTCAGTCCGCTCCTGCCCCGCCCCCTCCCTGCCCTGTCCCTCCCCAGGGCCAGCCTGCCTGGCGGGCGCGGGGCCTGCTCGGACCTCCGTCCCACCCCGGCCACCGTCCTGAATCCACGCGGTGGCCTTGGAGCCTCAGCGACCGGGTCAGGCGGGGGGGCCCCCCCCCCCGGGGGTTGTGCCGAGGACTTCCGGGGGCTGGTCCTCGGCTCCTCAGACCTCCATGGGGATTTTATCAGCTCGGCCGGAGCGAGCAAACCGGGGAGAGGACCCGTAACCCCGGAGAGACAGCGATGGGGGCGCGAGCCTGGCGGGTGCGGGTGAGGTTAGCCGGGGAGCCCAGCCCCCTCCCGGCAGCAGGGCTGGGGGGCAGCAGGCTGGCAGCGCCAGCAGGCGCAGAGGTAGAGCCAAGGGCGCGAGGTGTCGGTCGGACCGCTCAGCCTCCGAGATCAAACCTCAGCCCGCGAGGCCACGGCCGAGGAAAACCAGGGCCAGAGAAGTGAGACAGCCAGAGCCCTCGTCTCCTCCACGCCCGCCCCGAGGCCCGCGCGCTCCCTGAGGGCCTGGCCCTGAGCTTCCCGGCGGCCGAGGCAAAGAGGAAAGCCGCCGTGACTGACGTGTGCAAAGACGCAGCGCTGGGGAGAGCCGCTGCTGTGGGCCCAGGAGCGAGCTCAGGAGGCGGTGCTGTCCCAGCACGCCCCCCCACCCCCCACCCCCGGCCCTGCAGACCAGGGGCCTCCCCCGGGGCCCCCTGTGGAGGGCACACGGCCCGGGCAGTGGCGCCGGCTCAGGCCAGAGAGCCAGGTTCTGCTTCCGGGGTGCGTCGCTGCTCCTGACTCCCCGAAGTCTTCCCCTAGACCTCCAGTGACCCCAGCCCACAGCGGGGCCTCCCTGCCAGAGCGGCCAGTAACTCTGTCTCCCCCTTGCAGGCCAGTGCGACTTTGGCCCCAACTGCAGATTTTCCCACATGTCCGAGCGGGACCTGCAGGAGCTGAGCATCCAGGTGGAGGGTGTGTTTTGGTCGGGACCAGGGCCGGGGGGGGGGGGGGGGGGGGGGGTGCAGCGCGCGCTGGGGGAGAGTGCGAGAGCCGAGGCTGGGGAGCAGCCTGTCCCTCCTCACCTCCCGGGTGGGGTGGGCTGACGGGGCTGGGTGAGGGGCGGGTGTCAGAAACCGCCTCCCAGCCTGCAGCTGGAGGCCACACCTAGTGGAGCCTGGGGGGGGGGGGGGAGGGAGCAGAGACATGCCCCCTTGTGACCTTGTGACCTTGGCACTTAATCCTCTGGGCCTGTGGATATGGCCGCTTCTGAGCTGGAGCGAGCCCACGCTCGCACAGGGCTGGCAGGGCCGGCCCAGAGGAAGCGCTGGTCCACCAGGAGGGGGTTTCCCCCGGCCCCAGGCTCATCCTTACCACCACCCCCCCCGCCCCCGAGGCTCCGAGCCCACCTCACACCCAGCGCGTCTGAGCTCACCTGTCGCCCGGCTGCGTTCAGTGAGCGAAGGTGTTCATGGCACGTTTCATGAGAAGAGCAGGAGGGAAAGCTGAGCTGCTCCGGCCCAGGGTCAGAGGCCCGGCATCAGCCGAGCCGAGACCCACCTGCCTCAGGGGGCCTCCTCCCGAGGCCCAGGCTCCTGCAGGCGTCACCTGTGTCCAGCTCCGCAGGCCTGGGGCAAGCACTGTTTTATCCCCCTCCGGTGGGGAGGCAGAGTGAGGGCCTCCGAGTGAGGCCCGGAGGGGCGACCTGGGAGGTGGCGGGGGCGGGGACAGGCCTGGGCTGCTCCTGGCTCCTGCCTGCGCCCCCCCAGGAGGGACCGCTGTGCTGGGGGAGGCTGGGATCCAGGGGGGGGACTGCCCCTCACTCGCCTCCGCTTCCCATCCCCTCAGAGGAGCGGCGGGCCAGGGAGTGGCCCCTGGACATGACGGACCTCCCCGAGGGCCACCTGGAGGACTGGCTGGAGAGGAGAGCCAAGCGGCTGAGCTTGGCCCCGAGCAGCAGGTACGGCCCCCCGAGTGCCCTCCGACCGGGTCCTCCTCCCATGCCCTCTCCTCTGGCACCCCCGGGGCTGGCCCTCGTGACCCAGGGGTTTACGTTCCGCACCCCAGGCTTCTTCAGCCGGTTGGGGGCCCCCCACCGAGCTCTGGGGGCTTCCCTGCTCTCCCACTCCGCCCACTCTTCTTCTTGGGGTGAGCTAGCTGCCTGGGCGCCCAGCATGGTGCTCCCTGAGCCGTGCTCCTCCCCTGCCGCTCCCCTCCCGGCTGTTTCTGGAAGAGAGCCTGCACCTGGGGACCCCGAGGCCCTAGAGAGGATGTGAGCCTCCCCCCAGCCTCTTCCTGCGTTCCCAGCACCACTTCTTCCCCGTCCACCTGCCGTCCACCTGCCTCCGGCGGGCTCGGAGCCAAATGGATCACTCTGGGCCGCGCAGGTCTGTCCAGCCCGAGGAACAAGGCTGTTCGGAGGGAGAGGAACATTTGTTCTTGTCTGTGCCCTTGCTGCCCTGTCCCTCGGCTGGTCTCGTGACAAATGACACCCGAGTCCTGGGCCCAGAGGGTGGCGGGAGGGGGACTGGAGCCGGCCCCTTCCCTGTCTGGGGCTTTGCTCCGTCCCCCGCGTCTCCCCCCACGAGGCAGCCCTGGACGCAGGCTCTCTGCGACCTTCAAACACCAGGCCCTCCTCGCCTCCGTCTCCCGCCCCTCCTGGCCGCTGCCCCCCCTCTGCTCCCCCAGCTTGTCCGTCCACACAGCAGCCCAGCTCCTCAGCCACACGCCGCCTGGCCTTGCTGAACCCTCCTGGGCCCCTCCGCCTCAGGGGAACTCCCCTGCCCCTCCCCGGCCCGCGCGGTCGCCCTTCACCTCCCCCATCTGGCCTCCATGTCGGTGCCTCTGAGTGTTTCTGAGCTCGGTCACCTCAGCCCGTAGCTGCCCCCCACCTGCCATGCCTGCACAGTCCGACATCCTCAGGCTCAGCTGAGACCCCCCTCTTCAGCCCCAGGCCTCCCCTCGGCCCTGCGCTTGCACTGCTGTCCTGTGGGCCCGCAGGACGGCATGTGGACAATGAGAGCCTTTGGGGAGCAGGATCCCCAGCCTGGAGGACTGGTGCCTGTGTCAGTGCTGGGCCCCTCTTCCTCTCTGGGTGTGCTTCCTCCCTGGGGCCACCCAGACTCCAAGCAGAGCCCTCAGGGGGAGCCGGCCCCGTCCTGTAAGAGGGGGATGGAGGTTCCGGGGGCCCCAGCCGGGCACTGCGCCCCGTTCCTGACCCTGAGGGACCTGCCAGAGCAGCGGGCGGGGAGGGCGGCTGGCCTCAGCGGAGCAGACTAATCCCCCAGCGAGGCCGCGCTGGTCACCGCCCTCCACTGTTGGCTCTTCAGATTGTGCTTTATCCTCCTAATCTCCTCTTCGCACCCCACTCCTGGCTGGGCCGGCGCTGCTGGTGCGGCCCCGTACCTCCTGAGCCGTCCTCCTGACTGAGCCCGGGGCTGGGCTTGTGCACGGGACAGACAGACAGACAGGCCCCCGTGCGACGCGGGGTCCCTGTCCGGGCCTGTGTCTGAGCACACGGGGGGGGGGGGGGTGCCCTCTCCTGCGGAGGCCTCGGGGCTGAGTCCCGCTGCCCAGGAACCTGGCCCTCCTAGGAGAAGGGGCTCCGGGGGCAGCCCTCTCTGTGGAGAACTGTGCTCACCCCCGCCCTGCAGGGCGCCGGGGTCTGGCCGGCAGCGGGGCCGTCCCTCCCAGCAGCCAGGAGCCTCCCGGTTGGGGGTTAGGAAACGTCCCGGAGCCGCAAATAACGCCAGAGCCGCTCTCTGCTGCCCCACGAGCAGCAGCCGCTGAGAGGGATTCCCCTCCTCCCGCAGCCGGAGGGCCCAGGGTGCGCCCAGGCTGCCCACAGGCCTCAAATGGGCTCTGCGGGGAGGGAGTGTGTGTACAGCGAGGCAAACCGCTGGGCCTCCTGCCCCCGGCCCCCCAGCTCCACCTCAGAGAACTGAGTCCTCTCCAGACCTCACAGGCCACAGTGCTCCCCGGAGCGGCAGCCTGAGAGGGTCACACCCCGAGGGGCTGGGACCTGGGGAGCTGTCTCTGCACCTCAGTCCGCGTCCTCGGGACAAGGCGGGCACTTCCGACAGGCCCCAGGTTCCCAGCCGACATGCCTCCCGGGGTGGGGGGAGAGGGATAACCTGAGAAACTATTTTTTTTTTTTTAAGTTATACAGTATTGGGGGGGGGGGGTCGTCAAAGGCTTTCGTGCCTACAAAACTTTTAAAAGACAAACACACACACCCATCATCGCTCGGATAGAACCGCTGTGACCACGCTGTTGTTTCAGGTTTTTTATGCATTTATATACGTTATATATCTTCCAACAAAAATAGTGTCATGCTATATACATTTTTATAAGCTGCTTTTTCTACTGCTCACACACCCGCCAGGACCCCTTCCTCGGCGCATACAGGCGGCTGGGGGCGTGCACGAGGAGGAACCAGGCCCCGGGGGGACTCTCCGGCTATTGCCAGCCCCCCAGTCCCTGCCCACAGCCCGCTGTCCTGGGCCCGTTCCCGGAGGGGGGGCTGCTGGCCCAGGGGGTCTGCCGTGTGTATGTGGGGCTCTGCTTTCCAGAAAGGTCTGCCCCCCCGTGGCAGAGGGGCAGCGGGGCAGGGCCCCACACTCACCCTCTGCCTGCCTTCTCCTCCTCTCCAGGGCGGAGCCCATCAGAGCCACCGTCTTCCAGTACCCCGTCGGCTGGCCCCCGGTGCAGGATCTGCCTCCGTCCCTGCGGGCACCCCCGCCCGGCGGGCGGCCCCTGCAGCCCCGCGTCCAGTGGGGCTAGTGCCTCGGGCCCCCCGGCCCCTGCGGGTGAGCCCCCACGGCAGACACAGTGAACACAGGGGCTCCTGCTGGGCACGCCGAGGCCCCCGGAGGGAGGCTCTGCAGCCACGGGCGTGGCCTGGCCAGTCAGCCCCCCCCTCCCTCCCTCCCGGGACGTCCTGACCCTGACGAGGCGGGTGAGGGAGCTTCCTGCTGGGTGTGTATAAACGAAGTGTCACTATGGCGATATGGCTACGCGTCCCCCTTGCCCGGTGCCCTCAGCGCTGCCCCGGCCTCTGGTGAGAGGATGGGCGGGCTGGAGTGGCGGGAGGTCTCCTCCAGGGCGGCCGGCTCGCTGCCCTGCTCCCCGGGGGCCGGAAGCAGGTGGGGGGGGGGGGGGGCGTGTGGCTGTGACCATCTCCCCTTCGAGAAGCGGCTTCCGATCCGGGGAGAGAGCTCAGGGCTCGGTCTGCTGTTCCCGGTGCCCACGTCTGTCCGTGCTGAGCTGGTGCCAAGCGTGACATGGCTCAGCCAGGACAGGGATGGGAGCTGGGCCTCCTGCCTGGTCGGTGTGGAGAATGGGGGCCCAGGAAGGCAGGCCCTGGGTGAGCTTCCGGGCGTCCGCCCTGGAGGAGGCCTGGCCCTCGGCCGCCGGGAGCCGCTCGGCCCCCTGCTGCCCTCCTGGCTGTGCTCCAGCTCTCACCCTGTGCCCTCAGGCCCTGGCCTCCCACTGGGGGAATGCGGGTGTGTGGGGGGAGCTGCAGGGCCCTCTCAGGTGCCCCTCCGAGAGCTGCCCTTCCTGGAATCCTGACGTGGGAACTGAGGCCAAACCCGGGGACCTCGGAGCCCTCCCCTGTGACATGGGCTGAGTGTCTGGCCAGTGGGTGAGACAGGCTGGGTTAAGTCTAAGGAGGGGCAGAGAGTGGGGCCCAGCAGAAGGCCAGGGGCCTGAGCCAATGCCAAGGCGCAGAGCCCAGGAGGCGCTGGCCTCATGCCCCCGCCCCCCCCACCCCCAGGGAGAGGCTGTCCACCCCCCGCCTGTGACCCAAACCTCGGGGCCCAGGGTCAGGCCGGCTGTGAGGCCCTTGCACAGAGGCCCCTTCCTGCCTGAGGGGCCACAGCAGCTCCTGGGCCTGTACCAGTTCCTCCTCAATCTCCCAGGAGCCCCTGGACGGGTGTGTGTGTGTGTGTGTGTGTGTGTGTGTGTGTGTTAGTGCTACATACAGCCTGGGGGGCGGGGAATGGGGGCGCGAGGCCGGGGCAGGATGCCGGCGGGGCTGGAGGCCGTCCTCAGCCACCCCCAGGCCCTCACCGCTGGGCCTCAGCCCCATGCACGGCGGGTGGAGGTGCGGGACCTCCAGGCCCCAGAGTACAGGAGGCGGTGGAGGCCCCGGGGGGGGGGGGCGGCGCAGAGGCCTGGGGGGCAAGGGGGGGGGGGGGGCGGAGGCCTGGGGCGCCTGGGGAGGGGCTGCCGGTGCAGTGGGTGCGAAGGGGGTCCCCGGCGCCTACTTCATGCCGCTGCGCAACACCTGGTTGGCCGCGATGAGCATGACGCTGATGATGAAGGCGATGGCGAAGGCGCAGATGAGGCTCTTGCGCACGCACGTCTGGCGGATCTGCTGGTTGGAGCAGGCTGTGGCCGCCGCCGGGAGCGGGAGAGACAAAGGGGACAGCGGGGCGCTGTGAGCGGAGCCGCCGGCGTCGCTGCCCACAGGCTGGGCCCGGGGCCCGGCCCCTCCGCCCGCCCCCACCCGCATCGGCCACTCACTCTCCACGTCCACGGGGCACTCGGCCGTGCCCAGGTGGCTCTCCTCCTCCGTCATGATGATGTTCTCGATGTCCTTCATGGACAGGTGCTCGCAGAAGGTGTCGTACAGCAGCCGCTTCAGCTCGTCCACCGTCAGCTTCTGCATGTCGCACTTGGGGGGGAGACGCAGAGCAGGCTCAGGCCACCAGGCCCGCAGCCACCCCCAGCCCGCCGGGAGGACCCCCCGGTCCCAGGAGGCGGGGGGCCACTGGCTCCGTGTCCCAGCCTCCCCCAGGGAGCCGGGGGACAGACAGAGACTGCCTGGTCCCCCCCCCCCCCCCGGCCCCTCCGCCCACGGCCGCTCGGCGTGCGCGGCCCGGCCCCCCGCCCGCGTACCTTCCAGAAGACGGTGTCAAAGTCGGTGCCGTGGAACCGCTCCGGGATGCCCATGGTGGAGAGCTTGGGGCCCAGCAGGGTCACGAACTCCTCAAAGTCCACTTGGCCGTCCCCTGGGGTGGGCACAGGGCGGATCGGCAGGTCAGCCTGCGCCCGGCCAGCCTCAGGCAGGGCCCCTTCCGCCATGCCAGGCCAGTGTCAGGGGCACCTAACGTGCCAGGCTCCAGGCTGACGGCGAGGCTGTGTGGAGGGGGAGGGGGAGGGGGAGGAGGCGGGGGGAGGGGGGGTGGGGTGGAGGTGGGGGTGGAGGGAGGTGGGGGTGGGGGTGGAGGTGGAGGTGGGAAGGGAGGTGGAGGTGGGGAGGGAGGTGGAGGTGGGGAGGGAGGTGGAGGTGGGGGTGGGAGTGGAATGGGCAGGGGGCCCTGAGCTCGTGGGGAGCCTCACGCCTCACTCAGAACCTCCGTGCTTCCCGGGCCTGATGTCCCCCCACAGACAGCGGGCGGAGCTCAGGAGGGACAGCTGCCCAGGCACCACCTGCTCGGGCGGAGCTTAGAGGGGGGTCCGGGGGACGCAGGAGGGGACTGGGCATTACTGCTCCGTGGGAGTTTTCCCACGATAAATGCCAGGTGGCAAATACAACTAAGTTATTTAGTTCAACACGTGGGCTGTTGAGAATATACTTCTTTTTACTTTTCCGACGAAAGTATTTTTCAGAAGACAGACCAAGACGGGTCTGTATTCTGACCTCTGCATGGTGGGGCGCTCACACTCTGGCTGTCAGCAGCCAAGGGCTTGGTTAGGGGCGGCTGCTAGTGGGGGGAGCAAGTCTGCCCGGTTCCTGCCACAGCCCCCGGTGGAGGGAGTGGAAACGGGCGGGGGGGGCCTCAGCTCACCGTCCATGTCCAGCCGCTGGATGATGACCTCCAGCTCCACCTCGTTGGGCATGTAGCCCAGCGAGCGCATGGCCGTGCCCAGCTCCTGCTTGGAGATGAAGCCGTTGCCATCGCGGTCAAAGACTTTGAAGGCCTCTCGGATCTCTGTGGGGGGCAGAGCAGGTGGGTGCGTCACTCCTGTTCCTGACACCCTGCTTCCCAGACCACGAGGACCCCCAGACCCGCAGCCTGAGCCCAGCACCGCGTCCACCGGAGCCTGCAGGTCTGGGCAGGTGGCCCGGGAGTCCGCACAGCTCACTGCTGGAGCTCAGGGCCGAGTGAGCAGCAGAGGAGTGCCCAGGCCCTCAGCCATCCATCTGCTTCCCCTCCCTCCTCTGCCCCCCATTCCCCAATGAGGCTGCCCAGGGCCTCAGGGTCAGTGCCCCAGGCCTCACAGCCCCTCCAGGTGCCCTCACAGCGACCCCCTGTGGCAGGAACCAGGGGTCCCCCCTGTACGGGGAGGAAGCCAGGCACCCGCACTCCTTCCCTCCATCCCCGTGCTCCCTGTCCCCATTCTGCACATTCACCCCTAGCTCAGCGGCTCAGTTCGCTCAGCCCGTTCGTTAACACGCTGATGGCGGCCACGTGAGGCAGCCCCGGGGGCTCACAGCTCAGCAGACTGCCCTGGAGCCCAGAGGGAAGGGCCCCAGCAGGCGCTGGCCAGCTCAGGTGTGGGGGTCACTCCCCTTACTCCATTACACAGAGAGGGAGTCCGGCCTGGGGGCCTGGGGGACTCGGGGCGGGGAGCAGTGGGCTGGGAGGGAGCACCCCGAGGACTGGCCTTGGGTGGGCCTCAGGCTTACCCCCAGGGAAATGGGTGCACACGGTGGGATTTCCCGAGGGCACCCAGGACTGGGGAGGGTCCTAGCCTTTCCCAACGCCACCTCTGTGTCTCTGCTGTCCCTCCCCCGGTTCTCAGCCGGGATGGCCCTGAGCAGCTGGTTCCTTTGGGAGACAGCGGATCTCAATTCGCTCGCACCCTCTGCTCCCACTCCCCCGCCTCTGCTCAAGTGTTTTCCCGGGAGGGACGGCAGCAGACAGAGCGAGCTCAGGTGTGCACACGCGTATGGTGTGTACATACATGCATATTTGGATACTGACTGAGATCTTGATGCTGCAGACCTGGAAAAGGAGGCCCAGGAAGACAAGGTGGACATCTAGGGTCAGTGGGAGGTCACTGGTGAGGGCAGACGTTAGGCTGGCCTGGGCCTGGTCTTCGGGGTCTGTGAACCCCTAAAAACTTAACTGTGGCCCTAACCGGTTTGGCTCAGTGGACAGAGCATCAGCCTGTGGACTGAAGGGTTCTGGGTTCGAGTCCAGTCAAGGGCATGTACCTTGGTTGCGGGCACATCCCCAATAGGGGGTGTGCAGGAGGCAGCTGATCCATGCTTCTCTCTCATTGATGTTTCTAACTCTCTATCCCTTTCCCTTTCTCTCTGTAAAAAATCAATAAAATATGTTAAAAAGACAAACAAACAAACAAAAAACTTGACTGTGGGTTCCTACACCTGGGGGTCATTCTCTGATCCTGCTAATCCCATGACGGCCCAGAGACGGCAACCGTGTGTCCCAGGCCACACAGCGAGGTGGCTGGGACCAAGGCCCCAGCTTCACCAGGTTCTTCCCCACTGGGGTCTGCCCCCGAGGGCCGGAGGAGAGAGCAGCCGGCACCTGTGCTGCCCCTGGGTGCTCTGACTCCCAAACAGCGGTCGGCAAACTCATCAGTCCGCAGAGCCAAATATCAACAGCGCAACGATGGACATTTCTTTGGAGAGCCACATTTTTTAAACTACTTCTATCTCTTCTTCAACATAGACTCGCCCAGGCCGTGGTATTCTGTGGAAGAGCCACATTCAAGGGGCCAAGGAGCCGCATGTGGCTCGTGCGCCGCAGTTTGCCCACCACCTGACAGACAGGCTGCAGGGGAGCAGCTGGGGTGGGAGGTCCCCAGATCGGGGAACCTCAGCCAACTCCCACCCGGAGGTTTCCTGAGCCCCGGAGGGGGTGAGCTCCCCGTCACCGGGGGTGCGTGAGCAGAGGCCTGGCGGTACGGAGGCTGCGGAGGGACATCCGGCCCCCGGGAGTCTGCTGGGAGATGAGGGAGATGAGGACACTGGCCATGTAGCCAGGCACAGCAGGGCGGCTCCCATTGGAAGCCCTGACCCCCTCCTGGGAGCCCCCGGCCGGATGGAGACAGTGGAGGTCAGGGGGATTGTGGGTATGGGGCAGGCCACAGGCCTAGCGGTAGCCAATTAGGCCCCACCGCCATTTTTTTTCTTTAAAAAAAATATACATTTTATTGATTTTTTTACAGAGAGGAAGGGAGAGGAATAGAGAGTTAGAAACATCGATGAGAGAGAAACATCAACCAGCTGCCTCCTGCACACCCACTACTGGGGATGTGCCGGCAACCAAGATACATGCCCTTGACCGGAATCGAACCTGGGACCCTTGAGTCCGCAGGCCGACGCTCTATCCACCGAGCCAAACCAGTCAGGGCCCCGCAGCCATTTTCAGATAAGACTAGCCTCCTAAGATCACCCGATACATCCAAAGACTGCCCCTTCCCCTCCCTCCTGCCCTCCCACCACCCCTCCCTGGCACACCAGCTGGCACCTGAGGTTTGCCCTGTACCTTTGTCCATGCCCAGAGCCCTGCCCCAGCCCCAGCTGGCTCCTGAGGCCCAGTTCAGGGACCCGCTTTTCAGCCAGAGGGTCAGCTCTAAGCCACGCAGACGCCGGTTCAAACCCCGGCTGCCCTGCATTCTGGCCGGGTCACCTTGGCCGGTGTTTGCTCACCTGCCTGGCGGGCGGCGGGGTGACCAAACATGAACACGGAGGGTGTGAGGGCTTAACGGGGCCGGCCGGGTGTGACTCAGAACAGGACACCGCAAACGAGCACGTCACGGACAGCGGAGCCGGCTGGAGAGGGAGGCTGCTTGTAGGGGGCCGGGCCTGGAGGCCCAGCTCTGCCTCAGCAGCTGAAGGACCAGCTGGAATGCAAGGCCGCGCCCTCTCTGAGCCTCAGGGGCTTCCCCTGGGAAGCGGGAAGGCGGCTCCCGCCCCACCGCTGAGGCTGGGCCTGCAGGGGGCTCTCTGAGGGGGTGGAGGGGGTGGCACCACGTCCCTGTCGCCGCCATCGGCTCATCCCAGCTGCACATTCCCCGAAAGTCTCGCTCTGACCCTGCGCTCTGCCCTGCCCGAGAGGCCGAGGGCGCCCGCTGAGCTCCATCTTGGCATGAGGACTCCTGGCCCGGGCAAGGGCTGGCAGGGCCTCTGGGTTTCCAGGCCCTCGCCGTCCCCGGCCTGATGCCGCCAGCTCGCACCCCCGGCCCCTCCCGAGGCCCGCGGAGCTGTCAGGCCCCGGGGATGCCAGCCTCGGTCAGGGGCTTGGCCCGGGGGTGGGGGTGGGGGTGGGGGCAGGCGGCTGCAGGGTGGGCAGTGCCGCCCTCTGCGGCTCCCGGAGACACTGGCCCTGTGCCCCGTCACTCCGGCCTCCCCGAGCCTCTGGCCCGCGCAGAGGCAGCCACCGGGCTTGCAGGGAAGGAGCTGGATGGCGCCCCCCTACCCCCATTCACCGAATGAAGGCCACCCTGTGGCCACTCTCCGTGGAGGCTCCTCGGTCCCCCGGAGCGGGCCGAGGACCCGGCTCAGCGCCCTGCCCTGGCGGCTGCCTGTCCGTCTGTCCGTCTGTCTGTCTCCCTCCTCCTCCCCAGCGGGAGAGGACAGAGCTGCGGCTTGAGCTGCCCCGTTCCCGTTCGCAGGCGCTCAAGGCTGAGGGTGCGGCTGGGGCAGGCTCAGAGCATTGCAAGGCTGGGGCCTCTGTGTGTGTGTGTGTGTGTGTGTGTGTGAGGGAGGAGGTGCAGGGAGAAGCTGGGAGTCCCTCATTGGGGGGAGGAGGGGAGAGTGAATGAGTGGCAGGAGGTCTCACCCACCACCTGCCATCCACCCCACGGCCCCTTCCACCAGCCCCTCCCCCCCCTGCACACCCTGCGTCCCTTCCACTCCAGCCTCTCACCCCTGCAGGCCCCCTCCTCACCCTCCCCTACTGCTGTGTCTGTCCCGCCCCCATGGCTCCTCGGGGGCCCACACTGAGCATGTCCGTCATATCCTCTGCCACCAGCAGCCCCGGGGAGGGCAGTGCCAAACCCCTTCTACAGGCGGAGAAACCGAGGCAAGAGAGGCAAGCGATTGCCGAGGTAGCTCCATGAGACGAGGGTGCAGAGGCTCAGACCCAGCTCTGAGCTCTCCGCTCTCCGCCTCCCTCCCCGGCCCTCCTCCCCCGCAGACCGCCCGCCCCCTGGCTTCTGCACCAGGCACGTCCTGTCTGCAGCACCGCAGCCCCAGCTGCCAGCTCCTCTTCTCCGCACAGGGGGCTCCCCCTCCGTGGGCACCCTCCCAGCACAGGGCCTGGGTGTTACCCAGACTGCCCTGGGGAGCAGAAGCACTGACGGGGCCCTGGGGAGGCTGTGCCAGGGATGGCCACCCTGGCCACGCAGCCCTGGCATTCAAGGATCACCGGGGCCTGCAGAGACTGGGTCTCCTGCAAGGCGGACTCTCAGGGTGGCGGCAGCCGAGAAAGGGTCCGGGCCGGGAGGGCTCCTGGCCCTCCTATGGCCCAGGAGATGGGCTGGGGCCACCCAGGGATCTGCCTGCCCGCACCAGAGAGGGCCTTGCCCTTCAGATGCCCCCTGGCCAGCCCCCTCTGCTCCTCGGGGCCCAGGAGGAGAGGACGGGGGAGAGGGGGAGGGCGTTTGGTGTGGCTGGTGACTAACGCTCCTGGGCTCCTGCCAGTGTGCCCGCCGCCAGGCAGCCCAGGGGAGGCTGCGGCCCGGCCTCCTTGCCCCCTCGCTGCCAGCCCTGCACCCCGCTCCCCCCTGCACCCCAGGCTCCTCTCAGCTTCTCCCCTTCCTTGGGGTCTTCATTGCAGGGCTGGGAGGTGGTGAGAAGCGGGACCTCGTGAGGCCCATGACAGGCTGCCCGGGTGCTGGTGGGGTGGAGGGAGCCAGGGGAGAGAGCTCCGTGATAGCTGGCCGGCCTGGGGCGTGGGGACCAGCAGGAAGGAAGGGGTGTGAGCTTACAGAAGGGGGCGCTGGCAGGAGGAGACATTAGGGGAGACACAGCGGATGCCCCCTCCCCGGCCCTCTCGCCCCTCATCACATCCCCCTCCTTGCTCCAGGCCCTGGATGAGGCTCAGGTTCCAGGGCTTCAGCCCACACAGGGCAGGGGTTTGGGTTTGGGGTTCAAGGCCAGAGACCCCGCAGCAGCACCCATGCACCCGTCCTGCCCGCATCAGACACTAGGCCCCGTTCCCAGGCGCCCCTGGCCTCGGGGAGCTTTGGGGGGGCTTGGTGAGGAGCAGGAGGCTCGGAGTCTGTGGTGCAGTCCTGGGGAGAGGGGCTGCCTGCTCCCAGTAACCTTCCCCTTAAGCCAGTCTGACACCCCCCAACACACACACACACACCCCCCCCAAGACCTGCCCCCTCCAGAGCTTGTGCTCCCCCCATCATCCCTGACTGCACTGGTGTCTCGGCTGCAACCTTCCCCCGGGCCCTGCTGAGCCCCGGATCTCAGGGGCCCCTGGACCCAAGGGACTCAAAAGAGGCCCAGCCTCTTGGTGACCTCTGCCCCGCCCCCAACAACAGGGGGGGTGTGTGTCAAGACTCCTATCAGCCCAGAGCGCCCCCCCCACCCCCCCCAGCCCCCCCCCACCCCCGCTCCACTCCACACGGGGCCCCAAGTCTGATGGAGAATTCGGGGGAGCACTTGCCCGCAGCCCAGGAGGGAAGGAGCTCCCGGCACCAGGGGTCACCCTGCTCCCCCAGAATTCTCCATCCAGGGACACCCCCCCGCGGTCTCACCCAGACCCCCGCCTGCGGCCCCCGCTGTGTCCCCACTCCCGCCCAGAGGGGTGGCGGGTGGGAGGGCAGGCTGGGTCCCTGCCTCCCTGCCTCCCTGCCTTCCCTCTCCCGGCTCGGCCATCGCCGCCAGCCGCCGGGTCTGGCCACTTGTTGTCGCCGCCACCTCCCGGCCGCCTCCCGGGAGCCCCGGGCGGGGGTCCCCCCGCAGGGCCGGCCGCGCGGGGAGAGGCTCCGGCCGCGGGGAGGGGGCCCGGGGCAGCCCCGCCGCAGGGCAGCCGCCGCTCCCCTCCCCTCCCGCCGCCGAGCGGAGCGGATGGCGACCGCTACCCGCGCGGAATGCCAATGCGAGCGCCGCGGAGGGGACCCGGCGCAGGGCGCTCCGCCGCCGCCGCCGGAGCCGCCGGAGCTCGGACCCGGACCCCAACCTGTCGCGGTGCCGCACTGTCGCCGCGGACTGCGCGGGCCCGTGACCCTGCGGCGGGCGGGACCCGCAAGTTTCCGCAGCGCCGCCGCCGGGGCCGCCTCCGCCTCCGAGACCCTCCCCCGGCGCCCGGGGTGCGCGCCCGGCCGCCCGGCCGCCCTGCGCAGCGGCTCCCGGCGCGCCCCCCGCCCCCGGCACCGGCGCCCCCGGCCCGCGCCCCCCGCGGCCCCGCGCCCCCCGCGCCCCTGGTCCGCGCCCGGCCGGCCGGCCGCCCTGCGCAGCGGCTCCGGCGCCCCCCGCGCCCCCCGCCCGGGCACAGCACCTGCGCCCCCCGCGGCCCCGGCGCCCCCGCTGGCGCCCCACCTGGCGCGCAGGTAGGAGGACGGCGGGGGGCGGGGGGCGGGGGGCGCGGGGTCGGGCACTCACCCTCCAGCTCGTCCTCGGGGATGTCCACGGGGCGCTGCTCCGACAGCAGGCTGGGCACGGTGTAGATGCCCCGGTACATCAGCGCCGCCGTCACCGGGTGGAACGGCATCTTGGCGGCTCCGCGCCGGCCCGCGCGCCGCAAACTTTGAGGCCGGGGCGCATGGGCCGGCGGCGGCGGCCCCGGGGCGGCGGGCGCGGGCGGGGCGCGCGGCCGGGGAGGGCGGCCCGGCGGCGGCGAGCGGCTCCCGTCCGTCCGGGGCGCCTAGCGCCCCCGCGCCCCGGGCCGCCGGCCCATGCGCCCCTCCCGCGGCGGGGGGTGGGAGCTGCCCTCCCGGGCCCCGCAGGGTGCGGGGTTCGGGCCTCCCCGCTCCGGCCTCCCGGCTCCGGCCGCTCCTGGGGCCCCGCGCTGCTCGCCTCCCGCCGGCCCCACTGGCGCGCTCGGCCCCCGGCCCCGCGGCTCCGGCTGCACCGCCTCCCGGCTCGCCCGCCGCTCGCTCTGGGCCGGGCTGGCCGCGCTCCCGCCTCCCCGCCCGCCCCCTCCGCGCTCCCGCCTCCCCCCGCCACCCCCACCCCCGCCCGCCCTGCCCTCCGCGGGCCACCCCAAGCCCGCTGGGGCCTCCTGTTCCCCTTCCCCCGCTCCCCTCTCTCCCTGCAGACGATCCCTCGCCCCCCAGGACCAAGGTGGGGTGGGGGGACTCCTTTTATTTTTCCTGCCCCTTGGTCCACCCCCAAACCCTCGGCACTGAGAACAGGGAACCCAAGACCCGAGCCTGGGCAGGGAGGGGAGGTCGGCCCCAGGCGGCTGGGACCTCCCAGAGGTTCACTGTGTGGATGCCCGGACAGGCTCCAAGGCAGGGAAACTGAGGCTGAGAGACAAGGGCGTGGAGCAAGGTCATGGAGCCGGGGCAGCAGGCAGGAGCTGGCCCTCGTCCCGGAAGGCCCCCTGCACTGGGCCTGAGACCTCCCGGCTGGCCTGACCTCCCCCGGCTCCCCATGGAGCCTCAGGGGGGGCTCCTTCCCAGGCTCCCACCCCTCAGCCTTCAGAGGAGGAGCCGGGTCTGTGTCCTGGCGGAGGGGGGGGGGGGCACTGAGAGACAGAGGGGTGGCCAGGGCCCTGCAGGGGCCTGTCGGGCCCAGAGCCTGTGTGTGCACAGGAGGGTGAGGCGGTCGATGTTAGCATGTGCGTGCCTCTGTCTGTTATCCACACCGGTGCAGGGCGGTACAAGTGTTTGCACGTCCCCCTGGCGCGGGTCAGGAGTGTTTGGACACCTGTTCGGACCGGGGTTGTGAGCTGGCAGGGAAGGGAGGGCAGGAACTGGTTGGCAGAAGTCTGAGTGGGGGTGGGGGTGGGCGGGGGGTGACCTGGGCCTGTGTGCACAGATGTGGAGCATATACTGATGGGGGAGGGGATGACCCCTGGCCTTGCTGGGGCCCCAGCTGTGGTTCCTGCCCCTGGAGGCACCCTGGGCACCCCCTCCCTGCCCCTTCGGTGGTGCCATCGGCCCATGGCCCCAGTGGCAAGCAGGCTGCCACAGCCCTTATGCCGGACCCTGTCCTTCCAAAGCTCGTGGCGTTTTTTCTGCTTCTTTTTCTGCGTTTGTCGCTGGTGAATCACAGCCCTGTCTGTGGGCCAGGAGAGGGGACGCAGGGAGAGGTGGCCGTCCTGGCGGAGCTGGGCTGGGCCGGGCCTGGGCCCCACCCCCTCTGTGGCGTGGCCCTGGGGAGGGTCCCCACGGCATCTGGAACCTGCAGCGGAGTCAGGAAGGACCCCAACTCTTTATGTGTCTCCCCAGCCTCTGCGGACTGGCCGGAAGCCCCTGAGGACCCGTGCCTGTGGCTTTAAAGGCCCCCAGAGAAGCCCACCCCTGAAGCCCTTCTCACCCTCCTCCTCCTCCTGGCCTGCTCCTTGTCCGACACCCCACCATGGTGGCTGCGGGCGTTGGGGTCCCTCGGAGCCGCAGGTGGACAGGTGACGGGGGATGTGAGAGTTTAGAACCCAGAGCCAGGTACCCGTGGGCTCCCACGTCTCCCACCTCTGCTGTGGGAGCGCGGTCATCCCCCTTAACCTCCCGGGGCCTCGGTGCCCCCCCGTGAAGGGAGGGGTGGCGAGGCCACCCCCAGGCAGCGTGCAGGGAAGTTGACATATGAGAGGTGCCTGGCAGGGCCTCCCTGGATCTCTCGGGAATTTCCTATTAGCATGACAATCCCCCCGAGAGGTATGAATTAATAATAATTATAGCTGCCACCGATTGATGGAGTGTGAGCCGCACTCCTGGGGCGCTCACTGAGTGGCCAGACGGCCTCGATCCCGGAGGGAGGGTGGGCTGGAGCTTGCTGAGGGGTTGGTGGGGAACTCGGCTCCAGGGGACTCCAGGAGGCTGCTGCAGGGCGTGTAAGAAGGAAGGAGGGAGGCAGGGAGGGAGGGAGGCAGAGGCACCGCCTGCTGAGGCTCCTGAGGCTCCCTCCCAGCCTTGCTGTCCAGGTGGAGAAAGGAGGGCACCGAGTCCCTGAGATAAACCTCATCTGGCCAGGCCTGAGGCTGCACAGGCCTCCTCCAGGCCTCAGCCTTGGTCTGTCTGCCCTGGGGCCAGGGACAGGACTCACTGGAGATGATCACCCCAAGGCGGGAGCGTACCCCACTGCTAGGGCCCTCGGTGACTCAGGCCAGTCCCTGCCCTCTCCTCTGGCGCACAGCCAAGGCCCTCGGAGCTGGCGGCGGCCCAGCGGGCTGCCACAGGCCAGCAGCTCCGCCAGCTCCGCCCGCTCCCCCTTCTCAGGGGGGTTTGTGGGCTCCCCTGGGCTGGGCGTGTGACCGCTGAGTCCTCTGAACCTCTGAGGGCAGTCAGGCTTTGTCCCCGCTCAGGGACAGGGGCCTGCAGGGCCCACTGGAGTCACTCAGCCGCAGGAGGCGGCGCTGGGGGCTTCAAGCCCGAGGTGGGAGCAGGGTGGGGCCCGGGGCCAGGGGCCTAGAGAGGCTGATCTCTCCCTGCCCTTTCAGCCTCGGAGAAACACTGCCTCCTCTGGGAACCAACCTCCTGGCCCTCCCCCGCTGCCCATCTGGGGCCCCTGGGCATCGGGGGTCCCTGGGCAGCCCTGGGGAAGCCCGGCTGAGTCAGAGGACGAGAGGGAGCCGCTTGTCCCCGGGGCTCACACACAGCAGCTCCGGAGGGCTGCTCGGCGCGGCCGAGGCCGCAGCTCACTGCCTGCTGAAGGGCAGCAGAGAGCGGAGGGGCAGGGAGGACGTGCGGACAGTGGTCTGACTTTGCGGTGGGAGAGGCAGCGCCGCCAGCAGGAGGCGCTCTGGGTGGAGCACCCGGAGCCGGCTGCGGGACCTCGGTGCCTCCCCTCACCTCTGACCCCCCGAGCGGACACTCGGGTCCTACGCCGACGTGCTCAGCGCACGGAAATGGGGGTTTTCATATGCGGAGTCAGGGGACTCCAGGAGAAGGAGCCAGGTGGGCAGAAGCTCAGAGGGGTGCAGGGACCACCCTCATCTCTTGGGGGAGGGGGGGGGTGTCTAGTCTGCATCCTGCAGATCTGGGGCTGGCCCAGGGCTGGGCTGGGCTGGGCTGGGCCGGGGGAGGGAGAGGGCTGGAGGAACATCTCCCTAGTGAGTGAATGAAAGAATAAGTGAACGAATGGATGAACGAGGGCCCACCCACCCTTCGGCATTGCAGCTCCATCCTCCCTCTGCGTGTCGCCGGGGAGCAGCTGGCGTGACTGCAGCGTGGTGTGAATGATGTCTGTCGCTGCCCCATGGGGGGGGGGGGATGCTGCTGCCATCGCACTGTGCTCCCTGGGGGTCTCGCAGGCACCTCCTGGGGGTCAGGGAAGGGTCTCCACAGGCCTCAGCCACGAGGACTTGGCTGGAGACACAGGGAGAGGGAACCCACCTGTGACTCGAGGAGGATCCGCCACGTGGCAGGGAGGCGGGGAGAGAGACGTGGGTTTGGCTCAGTGGATAGAGCGTCGGCCTGCGGACTGAAGGGTCCCGGGTTCGATTCCGGTCAAGGGCATGTACCTTGGTGGCAGGCACATCCCCAGTAGGGGGTGTGCAGGAGGCAGCTGATGGATGTTTCCCTCTCATCGATGTTTCTAACTCTCTATCCCTCTCCCTTCCTCTCTGTAAAAAAATCAATAAAAAATATTAAAAAAAAAAAAAGAAAAAGAAGTGGGACCATCCTGAGCAGGGCGGGGGCTGGATCCCTCTCCTGTCAAAGCCAGCTTGCTCCCATCCTCCCTGCCCAGGAGCAGGCAGCTGCTCTGAGGCCAGCATCCTCAGGCCGCGCGTTCAGCACCAGGGAGAGCTCCTGGCAGCCGCAGGGCCCTGCAGAGTAGGTGGATTTATTGAGGGACGCGCAGAGCCTGATCAGGCAATAAATGAGCCCATTGTCCAGAGGAGGAAGTCCAAGCGGAGGAGGGCAGGCACCGAGCTCAAGGTCATGTCTGGACTGCTGACCTCAGCCCAGCCTGAGCGGGGGGGGCGGGGGGGGGGGGGCGCTGGGGGTCGCAGGGGGTAATGGGGTGAGGGAGGGGGTGTCCAGGGAGGGCAGAGGCCTGGGGGCGGGGGGGAATATTATTCCAAGAACTCGCTGGGGACAGTGTCTGGAGGTGAATAAAATATTCATCGTCTGGGCAAACTCACCCCATCGCTGGATGAATAATGGAATTTATAGACTTGCAGAGGCAGACCGAGCCGGGACGGGGTGGAGGGCCAAACCCAGCGGCCCCTGTGGGCTCTGCTCTTGCCGTGCCCTGGGCATCCCCCTGCCGCTCCCGAGCCTTTAATGTCCACGCCCCCACAGGGGACCCGGGTAGACAGGACGGAGCAGGTGGCAGAGCCCGGGAGAAGGAAACGGACGAAGCCGGCAGGTCCTAGAACCTGCTGCTCTCGGGGAAGCAACGTGCCGATGGAGAAGGAGCACCCGACTCGGAGCCCAGTGCGGCCGAGAGGACTCCCGTCCTCTGTTACAGCGCTGAGCCCTGCGTGTGGCACCCGTCCTGCCTCAGTGGCCTCCCCTGTAGAATGGGGCTGCTGCTGCGCCACCACCCAGCCGGGCTGCCCAGGGGATCTGGCGAGACGCCACACTCACTGTCCCTGGCACATGCTGTGCTCACCCTGAGGCTGAGGCTGGACCTGCAGGGCCTCCCTCACCCCCGGGCACGCAGACTCCCCGGAGCCCAGCGTGGTCTGGATTCTAGAGGGAGGCTGTTAGCCCTCAGGGCAGGGTTTGCCAATGAGCGCAAACA